CCTGTTTCGTCATAGTTGATCTTGCTGAAGTTTGCCACCCAAATAACTGCAATGTTCGACTGCTGGCCTGTTCCCCGTTGGCTGCTGAAGTGCTGATGTTCTTACGTAGTGACAATAGTTGCAGTTACCAGACCTTATAGAAAATATATACCACCGTTCACCACTTGGAATGACTTTATGATAAGAGGCCAGAAGACCCGATACATAAACTGATAAGCAAGGTCACTGTGCTTCAGATGCTTTAGGCTAACATTCGCCAGCTCACCCTCCAACAGCAATGTCACCCTGTTCATGTTCTTCATACTGTAAGCATAATGGTAGAGTCTCGTTTTCGATTAGTCCAAATCATAATAACAGTTAGTTGAACAAGAACATATGTAGTTAACTGGTGCTACTAAATTAGGTATACAGAGTCCTATTTGGTTCCTGGGTGTTATGGAGACGAGTTGCTTCTTGAGGAACCCAGTGCTTTCTTTGCGTGGTGGATACAGCTCTATTTGCATGGTAGGTTGGCTTTTCTTATAGTAGCAACCCAACAAACTAAGACATATTTTTGTTCAACTCAATTAGCATTCCTTCAGAGCCAATGAACAATTGAAGTTGATTCTTGCACTATGAGCATGAGAAGATATAGTTGAACATAGGCTTCCAAATTCCGATGCATAACAATCTGGAAATACAAATTCGACTTTGTTGTATGGTGTGAAAATGCTCGGAGCCATTCATAATGCACCGAATTATTTCATACCAACATGATAGACCTTCAGTTAAATGTTTGTTCAGGTCCCCTCAGAAGCATGGCAAATTGGTTGTCACCAGGATGGAGCAGGTGGCATAATAGGAAGTTGATGCTGGTTTGGTTAGAACGGTTTCCAATTGTCAGCCTCTTTCATCCTTTGTTTCTTACAGTGCTTTAGATATCAAATTTCGCACAAGATAAAAACCTGTTTCTTCTACCAGGACAAACAAAAAGAAGTTATATATTAACTACTCCTGTGCATGATGTTTTTTTTTTGAGAAACGTGGTGCTAGTTTTGTTGGGAGTCTTGATGGGATTCGGAATGTGAGAGAGATGGAGATCCACTAGGTCCATTTGGAATGTGAGAAAGAGTAAAAGCCCAACCCGATTAAGTAGTTGGGTTTGCGGTGTTGCGGGGGCATTCAAATATTAGGGAGGGGCTCCTCCCTCTTCACCGATTCAAGGCTGCAGCCGCCGCCGTCACCAACATCGCAACATGGAGGCGTATGCGGGAGTCGCATCAAGGAAGGCGGCGGAGAAGGAGCGCTCCTATGCCGGAGCCAGATCAATGAAGGCGGAGAAGGAGCGTGCCCTTCGATGCTCAAGAATCTCGGACTCTGGCGCCTGCTCCTGCTGTAGCTACAGTGAGGCAGGTGAGCCATTCGGCGCTTGTCCCTGCAGCGGCTATAGTACCACAGCACGGAGTCTTTTAGGCGTCGCCTTCCCTTGCTGTGTGTTCACACAAGGAAGCAATAGATTATCTAACAATTCTTCCCCTAATCCTACTGCTATCCCTTGTACCCCCTCCATGCCGATCATCTCCTCCAGCTCCGTGAGTCCAAGACGTCCGAGCGGCTTGGTGAGGACGTCCGCGAGTTGCCGACCAGTTTCGACGAACTCGATGACGATCTACCCTTCATCGACACAGTCCCTGAGGAAGTGGAACTTCACGTCGATGTGCTTGCTCCGGTCGTGGAGAACCGGATTCTTCACGAGGGCGATGGTGGGCTGGTTGTCCACCATCAGTGCTGGTGGGTGAGCTTCCGCACCGGTCAGCTCGCCCGATGTTTGCCAGCGCCCACACAACAACGCGCCCATCGGGCCGCCGCTTCGTACTCTACCTCGCGTGACGTAAACAGCCCACCACCTTCTTTTCGGATGGCCATGAAATTAGAGCCGACCCGAGGAAGACGAGCACGCCAGAGGTGCTCCTTTGTCCGTCGATGTCCCCCGCTATGTCTGCATCGCTGAGCACGGTGAGCTGCAGCTTACTCCCGCCGGTCTTGGGGAAGATGATCGCCTGATCCACCGTCCCCTTGACGTAGCGCAGTAGCCGCTTCACCGCAGCCCAGTGATCCTCTCTGGGATCCTCCATGAAGCGATTGACATAGCCCATGGTGAACGCAATGTTCAGCCTCGTGTGGACTAGGTAGCGCAGACCACTGATGATGCTCCGGTAGAGTGTTGCATCCACCTTCGCCGTGGTACTAGCCTTCGTCGGCTTCAGCCCCTCCTCCATCGGAGTCACGCATGGCTTGCACTCAGCCATGCCGCTCCGCTCCAACAGCTTCGAGGCATACGTGCTCTGACCGAGCGTGAGTTCCTCCTTCCCCTGTCTCACCTCGATGCTGCGGTAGTAGGAGAGTGCCTCAAGATCGTTCATTGAAAAACGAGCTGCCATCTCGTGCTTAAAGCTACCGATGTCCTCCGTACGCGCGTCGGTGACGATCAAGTCGTCCACATACACACCGATGACGAGCTCCTCCTTCCCCCGTCGCCGCGTGTAGAGCGTGTGCTCGGTTGCGCACCGCTGGAACCCAAGCTCGCCCAGCATGGCATCAAGCTTGGCGTTCTATGCTCATGGGGCCTGCCGCAGCCCGTAGCGTGCCTTGTGCAGTCGGAGCACCCTGTGCTCCGCTCCTTTGATGGTGAAACCTAGAGGTTGCCTGACGAAGACCGTCTCCGCCAGCTCGCCGTTGAGGAAGGCCGATTTAATGTCCAAGTGATGGACGCGCCAGTCCTTTGCTGCTGCCAAGGCTAGTAGCAAACGAACAGACTCCATGCGCGCTACTGGCGCAAAGACTTCCTCGAAGACGATGCCCTCGAGCTGAACAAAGCCTTGAGCGACGAGGCACGCCTTGTGCTTGACAATGGCGCCGAGCTCATCCTGCTTGATCTTGTACACCCACTTTAGGCTGATTGGACGGCATCCTAGAGGTGGATCGATGACCTGCCATGTCTCATTTTCCTCGATCGCCTTCATCTCCTCCAGCATCGCCTGTAACTAGTTTCCATCGTGCTCCGCCGGCGCGAACGTGGGTGGTTCCTCTGCACTGACGAGCAGCAGCTCTTGGTCATTGAGCAGTTGACCAGCCAGACCTGAGGGCCATGTGCCACCGATGATGTCATCCAGCCTGTAGAACCGCACCTCCTCACCTCTATGGAAGGCATCCACGAACTCAGTGATGTCACTTGGAGGTGAGGAGAACTCGATCGGCATCGATGGAGTTTCCTGTTCCACTGGAGTGCTTGGCACAGCACCTGGAGTGCTCGGCACCCCGGTTGTAGTGCTCAGCACTACTCCTGGACAGCTCATCATAACTCCTGCAGTGCTCGGCACCACTGTAGGAGTGCTGAGCCTCAGTCTTGGAGTGGTCGGCACCACTGCAAGACCTCTTGGCTCTGCTACGGGAGTGCTCGGCACCTGTCCTGGAGTGGTCATCACCACTGCAGAACCTCCCGGCACCACTCCTGGCGTGCTCGGCATCCCTCCAGGAGTGCTCGACACTCCTCCCAAAGTGCTCGGCATCCCTCCCGAAGTGCTCAGCACCGCCCCAGGAGTGCTCGGCTCTGTTGCTGGAGTGCTCGGCCCCCCTCCTGGAGTGCTCAGCACCTCTTCCCCAGCGTCTCCACCACCGTGGATGACCAAGTGCTCGACGACGAAGGTGCTGGTGAAGCCGCCAGCTTCCCCCATGCTCGGACTATTCCATTTCCAAGTCGCCTTCTCGTCGAATACGACATCGCGTGAGACAAGTACCTTCTAGTCAGAGTTAGAAAAAGGAAGGGAGAACAAAGCACACACACAGTACAAGCACCAGCGTTGGCCGGAGCTCTATAGAGGAGATGGCAAATCTGAACTCTCTTTGTTGAGTTGCAGTGGCAAACTATATAGGGTCTTTTACTTGTATGCCATTAAAAAAGATGGTCTAATCGTTTATGTCCCTAAAAAATTCGATCTATCGTCAGTGTCCAAGCTCGAAAAACTTTTCTCTCTCACGCCATTCTGTCTATTTGCAGCACTAACGGTGTGAAATGTAGGTGGCAAAGGACTTGAATGCCCCTGAAACTTTTGTTTCTCATATGCCACTGCCTGCTGGGCGGCAACCTGATGACTTTTGGCGCCAACAAGGTTGGCCTTGGCGCCAACTTGCGGGCCGTTGATCTGCTTGTTGCCAGCATCAAGCTTGCCCCCATGTTTTAATAAACATGATTGTGATATTAATTTGATTTGGTTTGTCTTGCATCAATCTTTCTGTCAAGCCGTTTTTATTCACATTAATAGCATGTAAATCCTTGAGCCCAACAAGGGATGGACACTGTACAGCCCACAAGTGAGGACGCAGTAAAGTGTCAATTTGACGTACGTCATGTAACGATGGCAAACGCGTCCTCCTTATGGTACACGACTTGTCAAAAACGCGAAACTGGAGAGAATTTTAGTCTTGCTTTCTTTTGTCATTGCAGAGTGAATTTTTTGTCTATACCAGGGGCAGCTTGCTGGGTCTCTTGTGGATGATCTGTGCCCGCGCTTAGAAAATGTGAGCACAGTTAATCTGATGAGATCAACGCAATACAATATTAGTGCATCACCAAGGGAAAAAAATACATTGGTCATCAACACGCAGACCCTGATCAGTAGTAGCAAACATGTTTTACACAGGCTCCATTCCGTGGACCTCTTTCATCTCTCTGTTCACCCTGTAAAAACTAGCACTAGCAGATAGTAGTATCACTCAGCCCTACAGTACTCTAGTATTGTCCATGGATCGGTGGCTTGGCTTGCATCCAAGGCGTGCGCTGCACATCCAGGAGCTAGCTAGCTTGCTCCGACGTCACAGGTACTGCGCGTGTATTCGGTCTCTGTTCTGCTCCCACCACACCTTGGCCTGCAGCAACAGCACACAAGAACGCGAGTTCATATCCCATTAGCATGACAAGATTTACAGCATGATTTGATGTCTTGCATCGGGAGATTGAGTAGCTAGTGGCCATGGACTTGCCTGAATCGGACGCGGCGGAGCTCGCGGGTGCCGTCGCCGAACTCGCGGATGGTGATGGACACGCCGGGCTCGTCCTGCTCCACCCACTCCGTGGCCTCAAGGTCGCTCGCGTTGCTCACGGACACGGACGCCTCGTCCAGGGACGACGTGGTAGCGCGCGACGGGTCCAGGTGCGGAGCAGCCGCCGGCGCCGGCGCGGAGTTGAGCAGGTTGAAGTGGTGCGCCCACACGTGGTCCGACGGGTCCGGCACGGCACTGGACGATGGGTTGCACGCGGCTCGGGCCGTGGAAGCCGCCACCGCCGCCGCCATGGCCCTGCACGAGGTGGCGCGGGCGATCGGCTGCTCCCTGCCCACCGCTGCCGTCGGCGGCAGGATCACCGGGCTCTCCCTCGTCGAGCCGGCGCGGGAGTAGAACGACGAGTCTCTCTGCATGCCAACAGTTTCAGTCTGATCACCGGTCTGATCCACGACGACAGCACAAAAACGTACGCTAGACCGGCGGTCGAGTCGGCGACGGACCTGCGCGGCGTCGTCGATGGAGGACGTCGGCGTCGAGATGCCCTGCTGCCCGCTGAATGTCTGCACGTTGTAGAGGAGGGAGCGGAGGAGTCGAGCCACATGAGGAGAGTGAGAGGGGTCAATACCGGTCAACACGGTCTCCACCTCTAATTCCAACGGCAAGGGGCAACTAAGGTCATTTGCCACAACGGACTCCACTCGTCAGGATAGCCAAACGGTGCAAATCAAATAGAAGGCGGACAGAATGGCGTGAGAGAGAAAAGTTTTTCGAGCTTGAACACTGATGATAGATCGAACTTTTTAAGGATATAGACGATTAGACCATCTTTTTTAACGGCATACAAGTAAAAGACCCAACTATATATACAGCTCTATTTATCTAGTCCTAATATAGCCGCCCTGCTACAACAGTGACTAGATAACACAGCAGGGCTGACTCTGGCGCCTGCTCCTGCTATAGCTACAGTGAGGCAGGTGAGCCGTTCGGCTCCTGCCCCTACAGCAGCTACAGTACCAAAGCAGGGAGCCTTTTCGACACCGTCTTCCCTTAATGTGTGTTCACATAAGGAAGCAGTAGATTATCTAATAGCTGGCCCATTGTTTGCTCGCCCATGGAGCTTGGCGGACTGGGGCTGCCTAACCTCCGGGTGCTCGGTTTCGCACTTCGCCTTCGGTGGGAGTGGTTGCGCCGGACATGGCCTGACGCAGCCTGGGCGCAGCTCCCATTGAGACCAGAACGCGCCATTGCGGCCATGTTCAGTGCGTCCGTCTCCGTTCAGGTTGGCGAAGGCTCCACCGCGCGCTTCTGGACCAGACTCATGGTTATCAGACGGTGCAATCTGCAACTCCGCACCGAACCTCTTCCGTGCGATCGGTCGTCGCCGGCGCAACCGTATGGTAAGAGAGGCTTTGCTCAATCACCAGTGGGCATGGGACATTACCGGCGTGCCAACGGCCCAGGTCCTCTGCGAATACGTTATACTGTGGGAAAAGCTCGAAGCGATCCAACTTTCGCCGTTGGACTCCGATCGTTTCATTTGGAAATGGTCAGAAAACGGAGCTTACACCGCATCATCGGCGTACAGGGCCTACTTCACTGGAATGACTGCTTTGGTTGGTGCCAAGCACGTCTGGAAGTCGGCGGTGCTGCCCAAGGTCAAAATCTTCTTTTGGCTCGCTCTCGGTCGTCTGTGGACAGCGGAACGCCGCATGCGACACGGCCTTCAGCAGGACGCGACTTGCATAATCTGTGACCAGCAGGACGAGACCACCGATCACCTGTTGGCTTCTTGCGTGTTCACCCGCGAGGTTTGGCACAGGCTACTGTCTAGGGCGGGGTTCGTGCACCTGGTGCCATCTGATGACTCTCGCCTGGCAGATTAGTGGTAGAACACGAGATCGTCCATACTGAAGCACTTCAGGTGCAGCTTTGACTCCTTGGTGCTGCTTGTGTCCTGGATGGTATGGAAGGAGCGGAACCGGCGAACCTTTGACAAGATCACCAAGACGCCATCTCAGCTGGTTGTGCTCATTCTAGAAGAAGCTGATGCTTGGATCACTGCAGGCTTCCGCTGCCTTGCATCGCTGACTGCCCTTGCTGTGTAATGTCGTGATCTCTCCTTCTCTTGTTGCTCTTCTAGTCTCCTCGGTTAGTACAACTCTTAGCGCCACCGTTGAAGCCAGTGATTTGTGTGTAAGTGTTCCTCCGGTCCACTAACTATGGCGCCTCGCCATGGGTAGCATCGGCTGTACTTTGCTCTTATTTCCCCTCAATGAAGCACATGCCAATGCACGCTTTCCAAAAAAAGTAGATATAAGAAAGACTTGTTCATCTATAGTACACAGAATATCATATTCATGCAATGAAAGTTCACATATAAGTAAATGCAGTTTCAAAATTCAGACCTTCTTTTTGATGCCGTAGTTCAATATTGTATCTTGATGCTCTATTTACAATCATTTCGGAATAAACTTGGGTGCAAACAACTGACCCTTTGGTCGCATGGGCCGAGAGCCCACTCTTCTACCCGATTATTAAGCAGTTGGGTTTGTAGCCCATTAGGCCCTTTTGACGCCTAGGATTGCGGCCTTGCGGGGGTACTCAAATAATAGGCAAGAGCTCCTCCCTCTCTGCGGTACTAAACTCTGCAAGGCTATAAAGCCGCAGCCGTCACCACCTCGCAATCCAGATCCACAGCTTGGCCGGTTCCGAGACAAGGAGGCGTATGCCGGAGCCGGATCAAGGAAGGCGGCGGAGAAGGAGCGCTCCTATGCCGGAGCCGGATCAGAAAAGGCGGAGAAGGATCGTGCCCTTTTGATGCTGATGAATCTCAAGCTCGACGAGGAAAAGGCACACGGCACTGGATCGAAGATAGAAAAGATGAAGAAGGTGCTGCAGAATCCCGTGCCCCTCGAGTTCCCGTTACCGCTCGGTCCCGGGGCCGAGCAGGAGGAAGGCGGCGAGTTCGGCCAGGAGGAAGGCGGAAAGAGGACGAAGAAGACCTATAGGTTGGGCATGGAGTATGTCGACTACGTGGCGGAGAACCCCCTCCCCCCACTGTACCAATCCGTTCCTAGTTTCGATCTGGGATTCATCGAGCTGCAAGAAAGATTTGTCGCTAAACAAATGGCTGAGCGTGAAGAACGCGACAGCATCCTCAAGCAGCTGGAGGAATTCGGTTACGCTGATGTCGAAATCCGACGACGACGAGATTCGCAGGTGAGAATTGGCTATGTGCCATTACAGATAATGGGCTGCGCAAAATTAGTACATGTGACTAAGGATAGAAACAAACCTCTCCTGGTTTAACTTTCACATTTTGTTCAATCAATCGAGTAGTTGCATAGAAAGTTTCATCATCACCATTGCGGCGAGTCATCAGAATATCTTGGAATGCGAAAGGACCTTCAAGATTCAACGAGATATTGTGTCCATAGAAATACATGATACAACAGATGCAAAAATTCGAAAGGAGATTTCATTCAGGAATCGTCGTACGACCTACTTAGTATACTCAGATTGAACTAGCAAATAGCAACAATTATTGTGGTGATATGTATTAGCAAATAAAACAATCTTGTGGTGGTAAGTGCGAACGATGTGATAGTTCGGTGGTTGGGACCCCTTCGTAGGAAGCTGTATGTCAAGAGTTCGACTCCCCACCTCGCATGCACAATAATTTCAAGTTGTAAAAAAAATAATGGCCTTCAAGTCAGGGAGTTATCTCTGGCACCGTTCGCTTCGCTGAAAAAACAAGTCGAAACACTATTCCGGCTGATTTGTTGTGAGAGAAAAACATTGTTCCGGCTGAAAAAAACAAACTGAAAAAGAAGGATTATAAGCAAAGTGAACATGGCCTCTAGGTCGGGAGTTCCTCAGCTCGCATGCACAATAATTGCAAGCCATAAAAAAATGGCCTCTTAGTCAGGAGTTATGTCTAGGTCTAGAGTTCCACTCCCCACCTCGCATGCACAACAATTGCACGTTGTAAAAAAAACCCTCCAGGTCAGGAGTTCGGCTCCCCACCTCGCATGCACAAGAGTTGCGTGTTATAGTTCGGTCGTTTTCTTGATGTGCATGATAAGGTTTTCTTCTATCTTAAACAGAGTACCGAGGTAGGTGATAATTATTATGGCACTGCTAGCGTCGCCTATGTCTAGACGTCCGCGGCTGTACTCCGTTTTTGCACGTCCACGCATGGGCCCATGATGGCCAAACGTTGCTTGCCCGCACCTGCGTCTCGCGTAGCCACGCGGGGCCTGCGCAGCCGAACGTCGCACGCGCGGGGACCGCTTGCACCCCTCCCGCTTCCCACGCGTATTTCATGTGCAATACCTGATCTATTTTTAAAACATTCAGTGCAACACTTGCAACATACAAAAATATGGCAGATGAAACACTTGAAACATGCGTCTGAAACACTTGCAAAAACACTTATAAACACTTGAAAACCATTGCAACCATACGCAACATCCAGATAAAACACTTTCAACATATGTATGAAAACATATGCAACATCCAAATAACCACGCTTGCAACATACGTCTGAAAAATAGATGAAACATTGAAGACAGACTCTTGCTACATAAGTATACAACAATTGCAACATATGCAACATCCCGATCTACTTTTGCAACATCCATATGAAATACTTGCAACATACCTCTAAAACATCTGAAATATTTGAAGTGTGAGCTTGCAACATGCGTTTCTCACACTTCTTCCGTGCGACACAAAGCAGAGCGGGGAACGAATGGTTCTGGCCAGCCAGCGGCCGAGGATAGTGGCGTGGCCTGGCAGCGGCCAGCTGCGCCTGCGCCTGGCCTAGGCCCAGCTAGCGATGGCCCCTCTCCTAGGGTGCTCCTGGAGATGGGCGTGAACGGGAGATGGTCACTACGCCATGGCGCATCGGAGACGGAGGTCTTCCTGGCCACCGATCAGGCATCCAGACCCCGTGGTTGAGGCACCAAATGAGGTCGCGGTACTCTGGTCTCTCTCCACAAAGTAGCGGCGGCGTCAACGCAAAGGCGGCGATCAATAGGTTTTTGCTACCCACGGCGAGCGGCCCCAGCGGCGGAGAAAGCGACCGAAGGACGGGCGATGCGGTGGAGGCGCCCACGGCGGTTGATGCTGGGTGGGGAAAAAGTCGCTCTCTTTTTTTTTAGAAACCGTGTATACCATATGGGAGGAGGACTGTGGGCGGTCCATAGGTCTAGCTAGAAGCGTCCGTTCGGATGGAGGCGGAACAGACGCCCACTCTGGCTCATTAGCGTAAGTATTAGTATTAGCAAATAAAAACAGGGCTATAGATTTGTAGGAACACAACCTGAAGCTGTTAAAATAGACACAGCAACTATTTGGAAGCGACAGTGTGGTGTCAAATTTAAAACAAAGAGAAGACAAGCTACTTTTCTGGTCTCTGGAAGGACATAAAAGGCATGGTTAGTATCGCAATATTTGATCCTAGTGATTTCTGTCCACAAACACTCACAAAGGGGTAGAGTAGTATAGACACCAAAAAAAACTTTTAAAATATCCCAAGAAAAAAGGGTGATAATCAATCATCCTAGAAAGGCCTCAAATCCCCAATCACGTATCATACATGCTGACTAAACTTTTAAAAGTTTTGTAATGAGAACTCCAACGAGTATCTCCGGGTCTTTGAAGGTATTGCTCTTGATTTAACCATGTCTTAGTCTCAAGTTGCCCACAACCTAATGCCTTTGTCACTTGTTCATGATTAATATCTCTAATCATATTCCGGCTCTTAGCTGATCCACCCACCACATTTAATAAGATAGAAATCATGCTTAAGAAATTGCTTACGCCCTTATGTTTTCTCACGACTGCCACAATGACTAATTAAAGTTGGTGAGCAAGCAATGCACATAATAAGTTGTCCTACTTTCTCTCATGATCAATGATTGCAAGCCATTGAACTCACCATGCATATTGCTAGCACCATCATATCCTTGGCCTCGAACTTGCTTTAAGCTTAGTTTAAACTTTGCAAGTAGAGAATCAATAGATGACTTCAGGTGGGAAGAAGTTGTTTCAATCACATGCACAACGCCAACAAACCTCTCCTTCATGATCCCACATTTGTCAACATACCTCAAGACCACAGCCATTTGTTCTTCACAAGAAACATCTCTTAACTCATCAACTAGCAAGCAAAACACATCATTGCCAGGTTCTTCTAGGATAGAGTGTACAATCTCATTTGCAAAACATTCAACAATGTCCCTTTGAATTTCAGGAGCTAGCAAACAACTATTAGCTGCAGCATTTGTACTCACCGCTTTGCGTAACACTGGATCATGTTGTGCTAAGCAATCATAAAACTCCTTGAAGTTCCCTTTTTTGTTGGATTCTAGTGACTCATCATGGCCACGAAAAGGCAATCCTTGCTTCAACAATAGCCTAATAGTATCAATGGATCCATTCAACCGAGTAAAATAAGCCTTCTTTACAGTCTCACTTATCTGATTGTAAGCAACATCAATGTGTTGCTTTCTTTGTAACAAATCATCACACTTCTTCATTGCATTATAGTGTAAGCCACCAACATCACCAACATGTGACTTTAGCCTTCCTGTCCTATGATAACCATTCCAACCATTAACTACAAATGATTCATATCATGCATCCTTCTTTTCTCTGAATAAGAAACAATAAAAATAATATGCTCTGTCCTTTGACTCACTATAAGCCAACTTTCAAACTCATCAAACCATTCCAGGATAAATCTTCTCAGCTTGTCTCCAATATCTGAAATAGGAAAATTACATGTGCGAGGCTGGCAAGGTCCATTTTCCAAATATTTTCTTCTGACCTTTTCTCTATGGTTAGGATGGTAAGCATCAATTTGTTTTCTCAAGCCTGGATCATATTTAATCTCCTCTTCCCAATTGAGATCATCTAGACATGAATTTATGTTATTGTTGGCAGTGTCTATGTCTTGACCTTTCGGTTTATAAAACCTCTCCATAATTACCTATCATTTGCAATCATAATCAAATTGCAGATCCATACTATCATAAATGTATATGCATATATTAAAAAGAGAAAACCCCAATTAACACACTAACCCTAAACTGCAGCCTACTCAATTTCAACATATAACCAGGAAAAATCGAAATCGGATGAGAGGCTTAACTTGATTGACATACAAGATAAATAAATTGAGGGTTTGATTCCTTGCCTTTTCTTTTGGACCGACCAGAACAAGCCGTGAGGGTGAGGGCGCTCACATCCTGCTGTTGCCGCGGCCATCGGGTGCTCGGCTCGGCTCGACGACAGGGAAGCCGGGAAGGGGAAGGGGCGCAGGCGTCAGTACTCAGCAGGGAGCGTCGCCGGCGTCGGTGCCTTGCCGCCCCCGCCCTTGCGTCGCTTCCTCACTGCGTCAGGTGAAACGCCGCGGCCTCCTCTCCCCTCGCGGACTCGCTCGCAGCCACGGCAAAATTTCCCGTGGAGACTCGATTGGCATCCTTCTCCTGGAAGCAAGCTGCGACATGGGCTTGGGCCGGTGGGGGGTGCCTTCTTTTGGGCAAGGGGTGCACAAAGGATGAAAATTGCTCCTTATAACGTAGTTTCAATTTTGGCCTGGGTGCCTGGGCATCCAGTGGTCTCACCTGGGCTTCGCCCGTGTGCGAAGCAAACAGTTAAAGCAGATCAATGCAACAATGAAGAAAAAAATGCACCCAATTTATGCATGGCTCTCTTGTCATAGTAGTAGGTACTAACACATACTAGGTCCTTTATCTGATCCTCTTTCAAGTCAATTTTTGGAAAAACAACTTCAGATTCTACTCGTTTGATTGTGTTCTATTGCAAAAACATTTTTTCATAAAACTAGATAAAATAAAATCTAAGATAAAAGCTGTTCAACAAATGCCAACTACTCCGCTTGAATGACCATAAATAGATTCCCAAGCGAAACGAAAGCCAACCACTTCGAGTTGGACTCGTTTGCCTATTTTTCTTTCTTTTCTACACCTAATAACCATAGAAAATGCAAGGTACTTTAGTTTTCTTCTAAGTATTTACTTTGATCAATTTGATAAAAAAAATTATTAACATCTATGCTACAAAATACACTATTAAAACATATCCCATGTTGGGTTTAATAAAGTACATTATCAATACACTTCAACCTACATACAGGTAATATTGTTTTTCCAAGTGTAACATGGCAAAAGGAAATACAAAACAAGAATGTCTCCGAACACATTTCTCAGTTTGGAACCTTTTCGATTAGCTTTTTTCGCGAGCGTGTCGTTGGGACATGTATTCAATTAAAAAGAAGTAAAAGTTTTAGTACATTCTGAGCTAACGATAATCCAAAGATTAACACTAGACGCAAAGAACAACAAGATCAAGAAGAGAGAGGAGACCCTCCTCTTAGCCACGTCACCCAACAAGCAGATTGAGCCTGAGAAAGTTCTTAACCACGCAAAGAAAGATGTTCCGGCCCCACAAGTCAGATTCTAGGCCACCCACTAAAAATCTCCAAATGCCCATAGTCAAAAGAGCACTGTCGAAGAAAACGAACGCCCTTCCACTTGTAAGCCTTACTTTTTCCACCGACAAACAGTATTTTTCTCTCATAATAAATCAACAACGATATTTTTAGCCAGAACTTATTAGCTAAACGAACGGAACAGAACTCCCTTCCTACTTGTTTAGACTTGTTTGACTGATAAGCCATGGCTAAAAATACTGATTGACTGATTTAATGTGAGAGAAAATATTATTCGTTACCTGATAAGACATAACTTATAAGCTAAATACGACGTCCTACCCATATTTTTTTTTATAAAACCCAACCCCGAAAATCTCTCCCCTCACAAAGCAGTCCTCCCACCGCACGTAACGCAGCCTCGAGCCGTCGCCATGGCGAGCAAGCAGACCCGCCTCGTCCTCGTCCTCGCCGCCGTCGCCGCATGCCTGCTCCTCCTCCCGGCCGCCTCGGTCGCCACCGACGTCGATTACTGCAGTGAGTATCCCCGCCTCCGCGCCCGTCTCTGGGTCCTCCGTCCTCGGGAGCGGAGCTGCAGATTTCGCAGAGCTGCTGTAATTGCGATCTGTTCTTGGTGTGGCCTGCAGGTAAAAAGGACTACCCGGTGAAGGTCAGCGGGGTGCAGATCGTGCCCGATCCGGTCGAACCCGGCCAGCCCGCCACTTTCAAGATCTCCGCTTCTACTGGTATTGTTGACTTGGCTGAAGCCCCGTCGTCTTTATGCTCCATGTTTGCTGATGTTACTTACTGCTGTAGGAGTACGGAGTAGTTGGGTATTTTATTCCGCGATGAATTTGGCATACGTACTTAGGACTACGAAGGGAATTAGTAATTACCAATCAAAAAAAGTTTGGCAGAGGACTGTATTTAGTTGGAATTTTCCTAGATTATTTAAGTTTGTAGGGGTACTAGTACCTTTGGGTGCTGTTTCTGGGTGTAATTTCCTGTGCATGTCCTGCGCTACCAGGGATTGGTATTTTTCCTGTTTTATTTGTCCTTACTGTACTGCTGACAAATTACCAGGCTCTTCGGGGAATTTTTTTGAGGTGTTGAGGTTGCAGGAGTAGTTGAAGACTTTGTTCAGTGAATTTATTGTAGTACTTGGGATGAACTTCGTAGAATCATACTAGTACTAAGTTCAATTGAATTTCGCTAGTATTCAACTTTGGAGCTGTAGTACTGCCTTGGGTTTGCTGGTGTGCAGCTGGACGCAATTTTTTCTTGTGCATGTGCAGTGCTATTCTCGGTTTGGTTTCTGCGTGCCCTTGTGTACTTTTAGCTAATAGTTGGGGTTCTTAGCAACACCTTTTTAGTTCTTGTTTGTAACTCTTCAAACCATGCTATGGGAAGGTTCCATGTTATGGCCTATATAGGAAGGTTCCATGTTATGCCAACCAAGCTGGAATACTGTTGAGTCTTAGTAGGGTGTTTGCAGACTCAAAAGTGTGAGTGGCCTGTGGTTGAGACAGAACGTTGCACCAGGGTATTTGGCAGCAAGGAGTATTTGGTGTGGATGTGGAATTTCTTTGCCTTTCTAGCTTTCTTCTATAATGCAAGGCAAATATACTGACACATAACATATATATTTGTTTGTTTGATCAAAATCTTGGGTATTCCGAGGAATACCCCTGCCGCCGCCCCTGTGAGTGGCTACAGTTTCTCTTAAGACTACATCTGATAGTTCAAAGTCTCTGCATGTAGCTTTTTGCTATTAATTCCAGTCATGTACAAAGCTATACTTAAAATAGTCCTTTGCATGACACCATCACCCAAAATATTTCTGAAGCGTAGGATTGCTTGTTATGATATCTTTTGTACCATAGTGAACCACTACAATCCAGTATGGTATAAATCCTTGTGAAGTAGTAAGGTTGCTTGCTTTGATGTGTCCAGGCATCACATTAAGCCCCCTTTGGCACGGCTCATCCAAAACGGCTTCACCGGTGAAGCCAAAGCCGGTGAAGCCAGAAAAACTGGCTTTTCCCGGCTTCTAGTTCATTTTAACCCCGGCTTACAAAACGGCTTCACGCTACAGTGCCTCGATTTGCGCAAAATAGATGAAGCCGAAGCCAGCATAAGCCGTGCCAAAGAGGCCAAGTCTGCAAGGCTACAACAGGGAACAATACTTTGTCCTGCCACTTGGCTTTGAGAAATAATAGGTTGCTAGTGCTGCCTGGAACATTGTTTTGACGTTCTCTGTTTAGTGGTTCATATAGTTGGTAGGTTTTGTGCCTCTTCAGTTCCTCTGTTGAATCTGTTTAGCTTATGTTCAGCAAACTTCTTTTGAACAGAACTGTGGAATTTCTATGAAGGAGCAACAGGATAAAGCAACTTAGGCCATGTTTAGTTCCTCTATTTTGCAAAATAATTTTGAATTCTGGGTCATATTTTTGCAAAATGTAACTAAACATGGGTGTGAAAAGTGCAAAAAGTTCCCCTCCAAAAAATTTCACATTTTGGACTCCAGACTCCCGAATCCGAAATTTTTCGCCTCGGTCCGCGGCCTAGACGCGCCTGTACCCCTCGCCCGCTCCCTCCCTACCCTATCCATTCGCTCGGCTGCCACTCTCCTTCTTCCTTTCCCCATCTCCATCTCCGCCACTCTCCTCCACCGCCGCCGCGCTGATCTCCCTCGCAGCCGCTCCTCTCGGTCTCTCCCCCACCTCCTCCATCGCCAGCCTTCACCTTCTTCCCCACACTTCCTTCATCGCGGCCGGCCGTGCCCTCTCCGTGCGTAGATCGGGCTTTCAAGCCGCGTCCGAGCGGTCATGGACGGATTCGAAGGCAACGGCGGCGGGTACGGAAACGACGACGGCACCCGCGATTTCTTCTCCCAACCGGAGCACTCGTCGGCTTTCAACCTCTACTCCGACCCACCGGCGCAGTTCCCTAGCTCAAGCTCCATCAGCGCTCAACGGGCCGGCCTCTCCTCCCTCGATCTCAACTCCAACGGCGAGGCTTGGCCCGGAATGCGGAGGTACGAGAACCTCCTACGCTACAACCAGGACGAAGCAGATGGCGAGGGCGGCTTCTCCCCCTCTCCCGTGCCTCCGGGCGTACCCTTGGCGTTCGGATGGCTTGATCCGGCGGCGGAGGAGGCGGCATGGCCGGCCACGCGGGCCTCAACTCCAGCGCTCCGCGTGCCCCACGGCCGCCTCCACTCTCCGGCAGCGGCACGCGTGGATCTTCGTCCACCGCACCTTCTGGATCGGTTCCCCGTCGCGGTCCAAAAGCATCATTTATTATGGGCAAATCTGTCATCTTTTGATTACAGCTCAAAAGTTTTCAGGTACATCTAAACAGGGTCTAAATTTTTTTTGCAGAATTGGGTTTTCACCTTCAAAACATTTCGCAGAAAGTTTTCAACCCATTTCGCATCTAAACACCACCTTAGTCACTGATTGCACCTAAGAAGTAGCATCTTTAACCCAGTTTTGAAAAAAGTAAAATATAATACGAAGGATCCACCTAATTGAGTCATCTTCGTGTTTCGTGTCCTGCCCTTCACATGGCAAGTTATGGTATGACTGACTGGTTTTTCGGAGTGTAGTAATAAAGATCGCAGAGTAATTTGTCCTCTAGTGTCACCATAGTAATATTCCGTCCGTGACATGGTAAGTGCCACCATACTGGCATATGCAGAATATTTAGTCATGTATTAAGTGACTCATCCAAAATTTGGAACTGGAAAAGTATTCAGTCTCACTGATACCAACTACTGTACCTGATTTATTTAGTTCTCGGAAGTATTTTAAAATAGTTGAACATGTCACATATGTGAGCCCCGTGGCAAGTCAGACACCTGCATCAATTATTTGCATGTGGCGTAGCTGCAGTGCAGCGAGCGAGAAATTCATGAACCTTGTTTGATTAATCTTATTATTTATAAAAGACTCCACTGTTTGCATTCATTTTAGTGATCTAAGTTATCATATGAGTGTCAAATCATGTTATGATGGGAACGGGGTCTAGTTTTTTGAGTGTCAAAATCATGCCTTATATATCCTCGCAAAAAAGATCATGGTTTCCATGAATTTTCAGATAAAACCATTGAGAAGGGGAAGCTGCAAATCGATGTTAAATATTTCTTCTTCTACGTCCACTCGGAAACTCGCGACATCTGTGGAGAGACTTCCTGTCCAGCAACTGGTGACTTCGTGCTATCTCATGAGCAGACATTACCAGGATTCACTCCACCGGTGAGATTTCTGCGACAGCCAGCATCACACATTTAAATCCTGTTTAGGAAATCCCAGATTCCTTTGTTGTATTTTCTTAGGACCTGATAGATAGCATACCTGATACCTCTGACACATCAAATCGAATTAGTATTAGTCGACTTTGTTCATGCGTGATTCTGCTCCGTTGCAGGGCTCTTACACGATCTACATGAAGATACTTGGGGACGAAAACGAGGAACTGAGCTGCATCTCGTTCGGGTTCAGCATTGGGTTCGTCGCGTCCAGCTGAATGCGTCTGAGCTGAGCACCAGAAGTAGCCCATGGATGATGTAATTATGTAAACCACTTTGTATCTTATAAGTCCCAGTGTCGAGGTCCATGTATGCTTTGTCCGTGTCGCGGAACTTGTGTTCAACTAAGACGTTTTATCCAGAGTTGAACATCACAATAAAACAAAGTCCGATATATCATGTAATGGAACTCTGCGCGCTTGATGGGATGTATGTCTACACGCTGAACTGAAGCCAGTTTGGGTGTACGCTTGCCATTGACTATACCTGTTTGTATGGTAGCCACGGGCCATATAGAAAATCTGGACATGGACAGCTCAGAATTGCAGTTGTACCTGACTGTCAGTATGGTAAGTATGAGTAGGTTAATTCAATTGAATTGTCATCCAGTAGGAGGTAGTCCAACTCAAAACTCAAATGTTTTGGTTATTTCTGTTTGGTACATAGAATTTTAAGAGGAGAAAACAGGAACTGAAGTGGAACTCCGTTCTGCATCGTTGTAAGCCTGTGGCCATATTATTAATATAAAATTTCATAAAATTCGTCCACGTGTAATAATATTATAGATATTATACATTAACAAGTCGTCGTATCAATGTATCATAATGATATGACTAAACTTTGTTAGAAAACGTCGCATGTGAATGTGTCTATATCCCACAATATCCATAGCCGAACCCCGCGAACAGAATACATTACGAAGGAGACGCTCATCTGTCAGATTTTCTTCAAGCCAGAGCACACAAAATAGAATTTTCCATGTCATTGTTAACTTTGAAATGGCTTGCATGCCGTCGTTGTTGTTCGTGAACCGTTTTTAACAAGATGTTGGTGCTTCCGTTTCCTGCCACGGCTCGACCGTGAACGACCTTTCAACGGAATGGTGCGAAGCGGTTAAAAGGCGGGGTCGCGCGGCCTGCCTCCACGGCTCCACCACCTCTTCTTCCTCCCCTCCCCTCCCCTCCCCACTTTCCCCACAACCACCATCCATCCAGAGGCAAAGCGAGACAAGAAAGCGCCAGCCGCGACGCGAGCGATCGAATCGAGGTCTCAAGTCTCTACCCCATCACCAGCCAAGCCGCCCAGCGCCGACCGACAGAGTCCATTCCGCCCAGGCGCCATGATCATCAAGACCCTCAAGGCGCGCATCCTGCGCGCGCTCAAGGCGGCCGGGCCCGACGGCGCGGCGGACTCCCCGACGAAGCCCGCCGCCCACCAGTACCACGGCGGCGGCGATGCCCTGTCCGACGACGCGCCCTTCTTCGACGCGCGGGAGCCGGATACGCCGCCCACCAAGTCCCACCGCCGCCGCCGGCCCTCCTCCGCGGAGCCGCTGGACGCGTGGGAGCTGGTGGACGCCCAGGACGACCAGGACGGCGGCGGCCGCGCGTCGCCCGCGCCAGCGCCACCCGAACCCGACCCGCTGCTGGGGTTCCCCGCGCGGTGCCCGCCGGGCGGGGAGTCCGTGGTGGTGCTGTACACGACGACGCTCCGCGGCGTGCGGCGCACGTTCGAGGACTGCAACGTCCTGCGCGCGCTGCTGGAGAACCTGGGCGCGCCGTTCCAGGAGCGGGACGTGTCCATGGACCGCGGCCTCCGGGACCAGCTGTGGTCCCTGGCCGGGGAGAAGGGCGCCGTCCCGCCGCGCCTCTTCGTGCGCGGCCGCGACGTCGGCGGCGCCGCCCAGGTTCTCGCGCTCCACGAGGAGGGACGCCTCGCCCCGCTGCTGCCGCTGTCGTGCGCCGCGGGCGCGGGAGGAGGAGAAGAGACGGAGAAGAAGCGCAGGTGCGGAGCGTGCGGGGGGCTCAGGTTCGTGGTGTGCGGCGAGTGCGACGGCAGCCGGAAGGTGTTCGACGGCGGGCGGTGCCGTGGGTGCAACGAGAACGGCCTCGTCATGTGCCCGCTCTGCTTGTAGTAGGCGGCGGCGGCGATCCGTTGTCCGTCCATTAGCGCGCCCGCCCAGCCCAGTGAATTACCTTCTCGTCTCCGCCGCTTCTAATTAGTGGTAGTAGTAATTATAATTACTACGATTGCTCTCTCCTTCTACTTGCATTAGTAGTTCTCTAATCTCTACTGGATGTGTTTGAGTGGTTGGTTTGTCACGTACAATGTATGTACATACCTGTTGGACGGACTTGGAGCAATGTGTGTGATGTATATATGTTGCTAGTTTAGATGTCCATGTCAAAACCCATGCAAAGATACAACACATGACACATGCTTCCATCCATGATCCATCCATGTACCTATCTATCAATCAATCGGAACAGGTTTGCTGATGAAGTTTGGTGGATTGGTGATTGATGCTGCTGGTGCTAGCACGACAGTACGACGCTGACATGAAGCAAAGATTTTCGATGTGAATGAAATGAAATCGTGTCAAAGTGTGTGTGTGTGTGTGTGTGGTGGGGTTCAAATTGCAAACTCCATCGCCGTTCCTTGTCCCCCCTGGAGCTCAGAATTTTACACAAGTTTCACAGGAGCAACAAGACATGATTCTGGAAAGGAAAAAAAAATCCCACATTTCAGAGGACAAAGGGGGTTTCGAATTTCATGATGATGCTGTACGTGGGGGGTGGGATTCTGTTCTCATCATTTTCCTGGGCATTTGAAAAATGTCTGTGTTCCCCACACCGCACTTGTATATATTTCTGAATGAAAACCACAGCTTTGGATTCTGCTGGGTTCGTGCGTGTGGTCCTGGAGCAGGCAAGCGAGAGAGCGAGCCTGCAACAGTGCACCTTTTACGCTTCGCATCAGTCTTTCGGATCAAAAGGAGGCTGGCGGGCTACTGTCTCAGCAACCTTTTGCATCATTGCTCCGGCGTCAGGTCACTCGAGATTTGCGTTTGCTGATGAAGAGAAGAAATGAAATGAAATGATGCACTGAACCCACCATTCCTCCCAAGTCCTAATCGTGTAAGTAGGTTCCGCGGCACAATAAGTTAAATTAAATCAAATAAAATAGTAATGTCATGTTTGTTTGGCTGATAAGTCATGGCTAAAAATATTGTTGGCTGATTTATTGTGAGAGAAAAATATATTATTCGTTGGCTGAAAAAGTATGGCTTATAAGCCGAGCGTAACGGGGCGCAAATAGGAAACCGCATCTACGATGATAATGATCATATGAACCAATCGTTGTGGATTTATCAAGTACAAAGCCGTATCCGATCCTTTTCGACCCAGACACTGCAATAACAACACACGCGATGACTGCTGCGTGAACACGACATGGCTTGGCATCCTCCATGTGCGGTGTTGCATCCGCATCGGAACCGTCGCCATCCATGGCTTCTCTTCTCGTTTTCGTGGGGGACAATGGAACACGCACAGGCCTTGGTGTTGGTGTTCAACATAGCTTACAGTAGCTGACTGAGAAAGCCAAAGGGAAGCAGACGGAGAGAGACGGGGGTCGTCACTTGGCTTGGCTTCACGGTTCACGCCACCGGACGCGGCGGCAACGCATGTGGGCGGGCGGAGCAGGGGACCAGGCAACGGTTAAGCGGGCCCAAATGGTTCACTCGGCCAGAGTCCAATGGGCCTTGCTAGATCGGAGGAAGGAAGTAGGGAGGGAGAACTGGCTCGCTGGATGGGGCCATGCAACGGATCTACACGCAGCCTGCATGTTGGTGCCTACCAGGAGTTACGTGGGCCAAGATTTGTATCCCTGCCTTCTCTGCCGTGGAAGGGAAAAAAGTACGGTCTGGTTCGCTGGATGAATTATCGTGGCCTCGAGCTCTAGAATTAGATAAATTGTCTCTTTTAATTCTCGAGACCGTTAAATTGCCTCTTTTCCAACGGTTAAAAGTTATTTTAAAATGCTTATGATATTTTTAATTGAAAAAATATGGCAGGAACCTAATAAGGTTTTAGATTACGAAAAATATCTTTAGGTTCATGTAAAGATCCTAAACGAAGAAAAAGAATTAGAAATACGTTGGCATACGATAACGTAGAGCTCGTGAAAGTATTTCTAGAAGCTTTTACAATTAGACTTGTGAAAGGGACCGTGACGTCTAAGAGAGAGGGTGAATTAGACAACTTAAAACTCTAACTCTAAACTATGACATCTTTTTTTATCCTTAGCAAAAACTTATGCACAAGATAAACTATCTAAATGTGCAACTACGGTTTTGCTAGGTGTGTTGCTATCTCTACCGTAAAATAGTGATGCAACCTAGGTTCCAATCCTATCAACTAGCCTATCAACTAAACTAGGATGTAAAGCACACAACCAAGGTAGCAATGTAAATGCGGAAGGTAAAGATGAGTTAGAGATATGCAAACTCCCGTTGACGACTCCGGTATTTTTACCGAGGTATCGAGAAGCGCGCAAGCTTTCCCTTAGTCCTCGTTCGAGCCCCTCGCAAGGAATCCCACGCAAGGGCCAAGCTTCCGGTCGGGTAACTCCGTGGACAGCTCTGGGCCTTCCCCACGCGCAAGCGGGTCTCCGGTTAAGCCACTCGTGGCAAAGCCTCTCCCGGATGCTCCCCGCCGTCTTCACTATCAAGCTTTCGGCCAAAACACCGTAGGCCTTGTTCCCTTCGGTACACGGTGGCGGCCTTGTTCCTTTCGCAAAACTACAAGCCCCTCCGATGTACAACCATTGGTGCGCGCAACCACCGGGAGATAAGAGGTATTCTAACCTCACTAAACATTAGGCATAAACCTAGAGCAAGCGCATAAGCGGTGGTCTAACTAACCTAAACACTTCGCAAAGCACCTACGTTAATCACCTAATGAATCACTAAGCACTATGCAAGCGGAGATCGCTAAAATGGTGTATCAACACTCTTGGTATGTTTCATCAGCTCTCCTCTTGTCAAATGGCCGGTTGGGGGTCTATTTATAAGTCCCATAGAGAAAGTAGTCGTTGGGGGTGAAACCCAGCTTTCAGCTACTGACCGGACACGTCTGGTCGTCCCGACCGTTGAGCGCGCGCGTAGAGATCGGACGCACTGTTGAGTCCGGTCATCATCGATCGGACGCGTCTGGTC